TTTATGTGTCTCTCCCAAAGCGACACCCAGTTGACAACGGTTATAGAAATAATATTTACCTTCGCCACACGCACACGTGCGAGAGATACTTGGACGGCTAATTTCCTTTTCTTCTTTTCCTTTTCATTAAAAATCAAACGACACGCAATCAATCATTCAAGATCCAAGCAGAAAAAACTTTATATCCGCGCGTAAACGTCACTCGCACTACGCGCAAGGCCGGGGGAGAGAGCTGAAACAAAGCCGCAGCACACGCGAGCAATCAGAGAGGCTGCGCGCTCGTGCAATCTGCGGCTCGGCGAAAATAGTCGAGCCAGCGCCGGGACAAAAGCAACAAGACAGCGCGGTGCGTAAATCAGAGCCGATGAGCTTTCATAGGGCATGTCGCGTCAAAAAAGTGCATTTTTGCAGTTTACACAGAGTTTCGGCCGGCAGACCGCACGGCAATAAAGGGCCGACGGCATGACAAACGCGCACGTCGTATCTGCACGCACTTGAATCGGCCGTGTATACAACGCCACCGTGCTGTAGACGCGCGATCTAGTTTATACATATATGTGTATATGTATATCGCGCCACGCGCGCATGCCATATACCTACAAATCATCCAATGCGCTTTGTTTCCCGTGTTCCTTTTTTTTGTCGCGCGCGCGCATGTATTATATATACCGGTGTATTGTTCCACGCTGCCCCGACGTTCTTTATTTGCGCCTACAACTTTTTGTTTTTTCCGTTGGATTTCTCCGTGGCTTTTGCTGTGCCGTGTGGCCAAGAGGGACATTCAACACGAGGCTTTTTCCTCGATTATGGAAATGGCTGTCATCTATTCATATTCTTAACAACCAAAAGCCTTTTCACAACAATATATTTTTTTATAAAAGCCATCCATGTGAATTTCTGATAATTTCATCATCTATTATTTTACCCGTGTGGCAAGCCAATAGCTCAACTGTGAGTAAAATCAACTTTCTAAAATATCGAACATTTCGTTGTAATTATCGTGCGGAAATACATTTGGTTCTCGGATTTCATTTTTTTGAACATTTCATAACAATCATATTTTGTGTATCTCTGTTGATGGCACGCGGATAGGAAATTTGAACATAATTCAATACATGTACGTTTCAGTGATTCCATCGGCGAATGAATAAACTCAATTTAATAAGTAAAATCAAACATTTTTCCCCTTAACGATGAAAGCGAGTTGTAATAATCACGTAATCCAAAGAAGACTCCAAAACTTTCTGAACCAGTAAACACTTGTCAAAAAAGTACTCGAACAAACTCGCAACTGAAGCAAATACAGGCCAACTCTTAGCAGCTCTCGCGCTTTGAAAAATTGAATTGTCGCCGTCGTCGCTTATCAGAGGCGGACCATCGCAATCCAAATATAATCCGAAGAGAGCAATGGCGCACGCGCCGCTTAATTGCCAAAAAGAAATGAAAACAAGAGGGGGCAGGGGAGAAAGTTGCGTGTATCAGTGTCGGACAGGCTGATCGACACGTGACGCCCCGTGGCTACGTATATACATACGCAGCGAAGTCTTATCGCAAACTCCATTATGCCTCGGTATCATTCTTTCTTGCACACCGCGTGTGTGTCTTTTCTGTCTCGCTCTTGTTGTTTCTGTCGTCGACAACGCTGAAGGTCATGCAATCGGATTCGGCGCGAAGCTCATTGGTCAATTTCATTACGACTGCATCATTGACGAATCCTTGCGAGTAAAGTAATTGTTTCATACCCATCGCATACCAGCAGCACATCACGAATTGACCAGACTTATATCACTGCCAAAGAAACGCCATCATGAACAATGACGTCTAAGCGGATGACGAGAGGATATAACAAAGCAACAGCAGTAACAGCAGAGAAATAGAGACATTGAGAGCGAGAGATAAAGGAGAGAGAGAGAGAGAGAGAGAGAGAGAGAAGCTCGAGTTTGTCAATGTTTGCCATTGTCGACACCCACCTACTTATGCAAATCATTTAATTTAGCACTGGCTTCGAGAGATATACGCATGGAAAAGCCAACCCCGCAGACGTAGGCAGGGAAGGGACGATCGTATCGTCAAACCTATTCGTATTCATTGCCTTCCAAAGCTAAGCCTTGCTATGAGATATCTCCTCTCTCTTTAATTCTCTCTCTCTCTGCCTTTGTCTTGCACGTCGCGTGTAGATGGGTTTGTCATTGAGACTTGCACTCGCGGTGTTGACTCGCGTCCTGCGCTAGATCGTGTTAGATTCAAAACGTGCTGCCATTTGCCATTTGCATTGCACGCATAGGACTTGCGGGACTCACTTGTCAGCCAACACTTCCATGTCGCGCGCACGCATTTTATTGGTGAGACACGCATCGATGAAAAGTTGGCGCTGAAGACAATCGCGTTTGGCGGGGAACGACGGGCATAACCGCAAGATCGTTTCGTAGAACAATGGCATCATTATCAATCAAAGCAAAAGGGTCGGCAAAAGCCCATTGGTCATCGCGAAATTAGAGGGGACGATTTTCGGTTGCGTGATGTGGTCGATTATGTGTCCCGCGCACACGCGGACATTGGAGTTTGCAAGCGAGCGGACGTACGTACGTACTATATATGTACGCGAATGATGTATACGAGCGTGCGGTCGTTTAACCGTTTTACAGTGGTGGAAACGGCTGTTGGCAGCTCCGCCTGTTCGGACGCAACCGGGAAGCCTTTTTTATTTTATTTATTTATTTCTTTTACGAGCAATCCATTTTCGGATTTCAAGATGGTAATTGATGAATTTCGTTGATGAGTGCAGTACGAGTCGTTTATTGAGAAGGGTTTTTTTGCTACAATCAAATATTCAAATATTATAATTACATTTTATCGGGCAACAATGATTTATTAAGTATCAAAGATTTTTGACGATAACCTATGCAAGAATAAGCCGTTTTAGCTGAACCACCGTATATTGATTAGATATTGACGACAGTACTTGCGGATTTGTTAAATAAATGTTTTGATGCAGTTCTTAAAAAGATAAATTTTTAACAATCCCCTCAAAATTACAAATCGTTCATTAATTACCGGCTGAAATTAAAAACTCGTGAATGCCTCAATCAGCAATGCTATGGCAATCAGTGCTCGCGCTAAAAAGCAATATCACGCGCCAGCCGAAGCGAAAATAGCAGTCGACAAACAAAACGAATGGCGCGAACCCGCGAGCGGGCTTGGCGAAACTTTTTGGGCGCAAAAGAGCATCATCACGCAGACAGCGTGTATCACACACATGCCCTGGCCGAATCATTTCGATTGCCATGCCATTTAACGCGATGCTGTTGCACGTTAGAGAGAAAGAGAGAGATTTCAAGCTTTGCATCGACATCGGCTAAATGTTCGCTTGTTACGCGCTTTTATTATTCTCGTTGAATACTCGCGAAATTCGCGAAAGGATGTTTTTTTCAGCTCAGCGATATGTCGATGTCTGACGATGCGTTTGCGCGCTATTGTTATTGAAATTAATTGTTCCAAACATGGAACGATAGAGAGACTAATTAATAACCACAATGTCAGCAACAATTATGGAGCGAAAGAACAAAAACGAATAGGATGAATATTCGAGATAACTGCTACACTCAACGAAACAAACCAATCGTTCTCGTGTCTAACAAACTCGAGTGCCATACAACATTCAGCCGAACTCCCCTACGCATATATCCAATCTCGCCGCGTGTTATACGGTGGAGGGGGGATGCATTATTACTATTTGCCAAAGTGCGACCCACAGGGCAAGATGGATGACTCAGAGGCGAGTGGTTTGGTGCGTACGTGGGAAAAGCCGTAGTGCAAACAAAAGTGCACGGACGATAGATAAAGTGGCAAGCTCAGTCTCTTTCTCTCTTTCTCTCTCTCTTTAATCCCAGATTGACTCGTGTCACTTATTAATATTTTATGCAAACACCATGATTTACGGACTGCGACGATAACTTGATGACCCTCTTGTATGGGCGTGTGTGCATAGGCGCGGGTGCTACAATCTTATCGGTATAGTTAAGTCTTCTTTCTCGTTCGGGTTTTTCCCTTTGTGAGATCGACTTACTTTCCGTATCATTCGGTCGTTGGAAATTTCGCTTCCTTGAAGAGGATGCCTCGAAACAGCATTATTCAAAAGATTTTCTTTTTGCCTTATGTTTTTCTTTGCCGATGGAAATCCCTTGAGCGACAAAGATGTTCTTTAAAGATTTAAAAATAAAGGTATTCCAGATTGATTTTATCTCTTGAAAATTTCATAGGAAAGGGTAATAACATTCTATTCATGAAGGTTATTGATCCAAATCCATCTAAATGGTAAAATTCAGTCATATGGTTATTGATATTTGTACGTCTTGCTCAGGACCTACCAAAGGACATATTATATAGTAATTGACGTTCAAAACGTTACTTTAGGGCATACTATTTGAATTGTTCCCTCCTCATTCAAAAATCCTGCTTCTTCTTACAAGCAGCCTTGTTTGTTCGACTGAAAAGATTACACTATTGTTATCTAATACCTAGAACTAAGACAATATTGAAACTTTTGAAGCCATTTTTGAAAAAAAATACTAGAAATTATAATTAAGAATTAATCACTGTTTTAAATTCGATAGTTATTCATCATAAATTAATTAATAGATTTAATAGGATATTGTATTTTTAACTGTATATACATTATTCAGTCAAATGACTATCGATTGAATTCTTCCCTAATAAATTAATAGGTAATGCCGGCCCATTAACGGAACTTTAACGAAGCTCAAATCGAAGAACTCAAAAAGCATTGAGACTAATTTCTTCCAAAAAAATTGCAGAATTAAACTGAAACTGAACCGAGAGAAGCAAATCTCTTTTAGAGCTTTTTGCAATAAAATACAGCTTTAAAAAGTTAGATATTGATCATAACATATGTATTTTGGATTTTAACTTCAGTAGTTCTAGAGCCTCTTAGAATTATAGTGGAAAAAGTAATAAACTAAATTATTAATTAATCTCTGATTTTTATTGCAAGATTTAGACGTATTCAAATTACATTCAAATTACATCAATCATTATGCATATAATAATATACTATAAACGGCTTTATCGTGCAATTTTACCGATCAAAATAAAATTTAAAAAAATCTATTCTTAAAACATATATTTCGGAAAACATTATAATTTTAATTTACATAAACACCATTTTTTCTAGATTAGGTATATTTGTGCCAATACATTCGTTCGCAAGCATACGTTCTTTGTTGAAAAATAATTATGCAGTGTACGTCAAACAAACTTATTTTGCAAAGATAATTAGATCTAAAATTTGAAAAAATAATAATAATGATGTTTAAGTTAATAAAACTTTGTTATTGATAGTAATCAATGTCATACAAATCATAAAGATATAAAGTTTATAATGCACATTACATATATGATTTAAAATAAATTTTAATATATATTCATAGTGAAATACTGTTTCTTTACGTTGCTAAGTCAATACAGGTAATATAATTAAGAGATTCAAACTCCTTTTTCTATTAAGAATACGATGTAAAGCAACCGTAAATACCATAGGTATTATTGAATCAAAAAATTGAGAAAACCTACATTTTACTTTTATTGCAATCAAAATTAATAATTCTCATACAATGTGTCTAATAAACTATTAAGCCTTTACTTTTAAACCAAACCAAAATCAAATCATCATATTAAACTTTAAATTTGGATGAAAGATTTCTTTAACAATTTCCCAAACATTACTATTTTGAAGTGTACAACAAAAAGTTAATCCTCTAGTTACATTAGAAAATTCAGGATGATTATCATGACAATTCATATAACTTTCGCAAAGTGTTCTTTTGTCAGGCAACTTAAAACCCGACACATTTTCCACGGTAGTATAAGGATCATTAACAGTATGAAATACAACTCCTCGTGTTATATCCGTAGAGTCAACTGCTACTTTGACAATTATTTCAGGAATGTACACAGGATGCGCCGGAGCCAAGTTTTTTTCACTTTCCAATACTATTTCTCTATCACCTATGTGAAAGTAATTAACTGGTGCGACGAAAATGTTAAAATTTGATAAAGAATTGTCGGCTAGTTTGCGAACGATTTGTCCAATTAACTTCCAATTTCCATCGTTAATACTATGCCATATTGGAACTGTATTTTCGTAAAACGCTGTAGTCTTCTGCTGGCTCACATAATAAAAATCGTCTTTTGATATAAGTTGACCCCTAACTAAATAGTTACCATCTGAAAAACATTGATATTTTTAATGAATATTCAATAATTAATAGAATTACAGTCTAGTCAAAGCTTACTCGAGAAATATTTGTCGATCACTGATTTGTTTTGAATTTGTCTTTCAAACTCGAACATTTGTTGTTCTTTCGAATAAATATCAGTAAAGTTGACGGTCTTTTGTTGGTAAATCAATCCAAAATTGTAATCGTGATCTGTATCATATTTCTGTCTTTTCTCTACAATAGAAATTATTTTGCTATGTGCCAAAGGAAAAGCTCGAGAATCCCTCGGATCAAACATAATGTAATAAGTTGACAAAAAGTCAACCAAATTCAATTCAAAGCCAACAGCATAAAATTTGATAAATTCGGTTCGTTTTCTACTTTCCAAGCTTTTCATGACTGCTGTGATATTCCCTTCGCATCTAACATTATAGCCAGATTCCAAACCAGCTTCACAGTTGTGCAAATCAAATTTACGTAATATATCGTAGTTTGTCATAAAAGTTGTTCTCAGTTTGTTGCAAAAACTTGTGTCGCCAGAGTTCTTGTAAAGATTTACGTAAGAACCTGGGCATGCAAGATGAATGCGACAACGACTCGGTTGCATACAGATACAATCGTCTTTATCAGAGTAATTTGGCGGGTAAACAAAATGCGGTGAATTTTCCGCGCGTCGTTTATAATTGTAAATAATTGGCTGTTGCTCCACATTTTCATTTGGATCGTTCAATTCGGTATTAATTAAACATGTTTCAGACGAAGCATAACCTAAGAAGTCAACAAAGCATCAAGACAATTGATGAAAAATAGCAGATAATCGTATAGTTTATTGGCATTGAAAGTGTATCGGCCAATTTTCATTTTCAATTTCCATAGAGATACATTGAAATATTGCTGGTTACTTCGTTCAAAAAAATGTTTTTCTAATTCTTACACATAAAATCAATAACATTACTAGCAGCAACAATAAAGTCCTCATTTTGTGAATTTAGCCGTAACACGTATTTGATCAATATTGATTTTCTAAATGATCAAATGTTCTCATTACAGTTGTACTTACCTATACAAGTGAAAATCATTAGTAACAAAACAAACATTATGCCGTCTTTAAACATGTTACTATATAACGTGTCAACACTCAATGTAATGTCTCAAAATATATAAGTCAAATGAATTTAAAAACGTGCAAGACAATATTAAATAAAATTCAACTATTCACCGTACTTAACACGAGTCTCTCACGAAAATAGTAATACTACAGAGTGTGAATGGCGTCTAAAAGATTCTGTTAGTTTCACGATGGCAAGTTAAACGCTTATCCTCTTTCTCGCTCTCCTCTCCTCTCTTTCTCTCTTATTTACCCACCTATACAGCGATAAATACCAACATGTATACAAGCGCGATAAGTTTTTACTAAACTAAAGCGAACGACGTTATCGGCAGTCTCTCAATTTTGAATACGACCAAATCACCGGAATCTTGAGAACTTATGCATGATTTGCTTGAAACTTGATGATAACATTCACCATTTAATCGTCATCTGCAAAGCACATAATCAATAGCTAAACAATTCAAATTACACAGCACTCAATACACATACGAAGTACATGTATGTAGCCAGCGACGAGAACGAGGACGACGAGGCATTTAATTGGTAATCCGTTTAAGGGATTAGTGAGTCTCGCGCTTGCGTCGAGACATTATGACGTGTCGGTTGCATCTTGCGCAGGGGCTTGCGAGCCGCCTCCGCCGACGGCGAGAGTAGGAGGGAAGTACGACAAGCCGAGGAACACGTCGATACGAATGCTCTCGCTCGCTCGCGCACATCACGCAGCTGGATATATTCCTTGTTCTCGAGGTATAAGCATCGGTGGCAGGTGCCATGTCTATTCGCGTTCCCTCCCCTTATTCCGTACGTTTCATTCGCGAATGGAATACTGTTTTTGGGTTACTGCAATGGAAGACTTGATTTTCGATGCGGTTGATAAGAACTGATTTTTCGATAAATTTACTTCATATTAAACTATCTTTGGATGCGCGGTTGTCTAGCATACAATTTAAAAAAAGTGCAAAAAGTCATTCGAGTTTTTACGTAGCTTTCCCTGACAATAATTTTTCATCTTAGTTCACAAATACGAAAAAGAAATGTTGCGCTTTTGAGGGACATAAAGTGTCGAGAAGTGAACGTGATATCTCGTTTTTTTTATTCAATTTTTATTACCAATTACCAAATACAAATACAATAGAATAACGAAAACGAGACTCGATTAAAAAATTAAGTTTAAGTAGCGATGCTGGAGAGTTTAAACAAACAGAAAAGAAAAATGAAGTATTCCGCTGAAATCCCGTCAGACTCAGCCAGCCTTCTCCCTTGGTGTCAAAGATTGTTGAATTTTTAATGGTATCAGTACGGCTGAACTAAACGAAATGGGCAGCAGCCCATTAAACCTTACTAACGCTTACATTTGTCAGCAAGGCGATCCCTATTAAGCTCAATAGGATTTTAAACTTTTCGCCGAGGGGGGACTTACTTCGACGTTGCAATTTGAGTTTGATCTATAAAAAAGTTCACCACTTAGCAAAGTTAGATTATGAAAATATCCTACTGGTCATTTTTTTTTCTCGAGCGTAATACACATTTCTTTGTTATCAAGGACATTGTTCAGTCGTAAGTATAAGTTGTGGCGGCACTTCCAGGAAGTGCATCCTTGGAAAGCAAGGTACAAACGGCGTCGGCGTCGGCGATGCGCAGTAATAAATCAAATCGCTTTTTCCGATCGCTCACATAAGCGCAGAATGGTAATGAAAACTACACGTGAGATACAGCGCGATAACACTGCCGTAACTCCGCGGGATACTCCCATCGATTCTTCTTCCATGCCTGTACATTTCCCTTTTTCTTCCTCTCCTCTTTTTCGTGACCGTCGCACACGCTGCTCCTTCACCTGCGTTCTCATACAGTTTCCAACATGAGAGTTTCGCGGCGAACAGTTGTTTCCATTCTTGTGAAAATTCAATTCATTGTGAAAATTCACTGTCGCTCTCTGAAAATGCTGGCAAAGCCAAGATTACGTCTGACGTCTTTTCATCTAAAAAATCCTCCGCGTATACGAAAGCGTCGACGCGCCGAAAGTTGCGGTTCTCGCTCGTCCGCGTCGCTTTTCTTACTTAGATCGCACTTTAATAAATCTCGCGAAGATCCGCAGGCGAGCAGGCAGAACAGGCAATTGGCAAGACACGCGCGCAACTTACGATCGTACGTGCAATTAATGCGAGAGCAGATGTACGTCGCATGTATCGAGAGAGAGAGAGAGAGAGAGAGAGAGAGAGAGAGAGAGAGAGAGCGCAAAAAGACGCGGGCGAAACTCGGTGATCCCGAGCCGTCGATCAAAGTCATTCCCGTTCGTATAAACGACAAAACGGCCTGTTACGATGTGAGAATTGCATTGTCCCCTGTCCACTCGCCGGGCGGCAGGTCGTTTATTATATTTCATATTTCTTTCTCGTGCAAGAGCTTGTTTGCCCCATCCTTTCTTTCGTTTTTTTTCTTTTTTTTGCCTTTTTTTCCTTTTTTTTTCTTTTTCATTTATTTTTTGTGTTGCGTCTCGCATGCTCAGCACGTGTCGTACTCTCGCTGAGCGAGCATTGAATTTATAACGATCGCGAATTTTCACGTAATTAATCGCTGAGATATGTGATGATATCCGATTCTTCTTGCTTTTTTTTCGTAGATGTATGTGATGATCAAAAAAACACTGTCAATTAGGACTACTTACCTTTACGTTGATGCCTGTAGTAGTATCGATCAATTGTCTCTCCTGAAAATGGACAGTGAGAGTTATTTTCTTCTTGTTACGCTGCAACAAATAGCAAAAGTTATGCAATTATTGTACTATATTCATTCGATTATGACCATTTTAGTTTATTTCAAGCAAGTAAAAATTTGAATGCGCCGTTGTTAATGTCTCAAAAGGACTTTTTATTAATAAAAAATGAATGAATATCGAAATCCATAAATATCCACTTCACGCAAAATTATAAATCAATATAAATATGTTTATAACATTCGTTACACTTACTATCGTAGCAAACTTAAATGAAAAGAAATTTTTAAGTTAATTAGAAATTTGGTTATATAATTACTACACAACGTAAGCTCATTGTTGTTAATACATTTTTCAATAATTCGACAATTTTTCATCAGTTTTTCATAACACTCGACACTCTAACACAATTTATCGAATAACGAAAAATTATTAAATAATCGCGTTTGTGGTCAATATTATCGAAACTGTTGAAAGAATTAATTAACGTTCACGTACAAAATACTTTAATCAATTTCAGTTAAGCCAAACCATACATAGTTATGCAAAGTGATGCATACCAACGAACAATATTTTTACTAACCACACACACACTCATACGACCAATCAAAATTTCACGAAGGCCTTTCCCTCTCAAAAAATTTTCCCTAATTAACGTGCGTCGCATTCAGGGCGCGAAAAAAGTTGTGTTGGAGCGCAAGCCCATGCAGCGCGCATATAAAGTAGCTTGGAAAAACAACTTGAGTCACGTATCAGTCGTGCAATAAACATTGTCGCGGATAAATAACGTCAGGAGTAATTAGCAAGATCGAGCGACCTGAAATTTACGGGTGGAGAGAGGGAGAGAGAGAGAGAGAGAGAGACAGAAGAGAAAAGGACGAGAGGGATCCCCGTCATTAAGATGCCGACGGGCGAAAAATGCAGACTTGCGCTTGGGCCGCCCTTCCCGCTTGTGTGTGCTCGATAGTGCTTGTAGGCTCGCGCGGTCAGTCGGTCGGCTTCTTACTCCACGCGAAGGATGCATATTTACGGGCGCGACTACGAAATAGCTTTATTTCGTGCTAACGTATTTTTTTTCTCTCGACTAATTTTGTGCGAATTTTTCTGTGCCGTCGCGCAAAACTGATAATGGCGTGACTCGAGTGCTTTTCTCACATTCGCGAGGAAATTCACAGGGGCAATTCACGTAAGTTACAATAATTACAAATATACGATCACGCAATGTATATTCTTACATATCTGTTTATAAATGAGCAGGTTATTCATTTTTTCCGTATATTTCCTTTTATTGGCAGCATATTCAAGTCTGATGAATAAAAATTCATTACATCCACTACTTGCGTGTGAAGCTGTTTGAAACGCGGCAACGTATGAAAAATGGACTTTTGAAAGTCTGGTACTATTTAGAGTGAAATAATCCGATTGGCGCTGTATTTGCAATCAATTGGAATCGAATTTAAAATGTGCATAGCGAGCGAGCCGAACGAATTGATAAAATCGAATTGAGGCGCGTAGCGTCAATCGACAAATAATTGACAGAGAATCGTTGTTGACCGTAGCGACGAGTTCAATTTCAATCAAATGCTTCGCTTCTATTCGGCTTTAATAGAATACATGTTGAGTGCTGTGTTGACGGCGGCTATAAACATTGAAAGCTCAATGCATTGATTACCCGCGCTGCTACTTTTTCCAGTCAAAGGAGAAAAATCACATTTGCATTGTTAATTTCTTTATTGACTAGTCGTGTCGTACAAGCACGTATTGAGCATCGAACGAGCACTCAAATATTTGTGCAAATAAGAGTGGCTTGCAATGCATGAACGCTGGAGTGACGGCTGAAAGTTGCATGAACAATAACAAACGCATTCGCGAATTCATCGATAGAGTTTTTTCAACGACTGCCAATAAACTACTTGGCGCACTGTCTGTTTCAATCGCGACTCCAAGTGTGAAACATGACTATTGTAATAAAGGGAAGGGAGTCGATGGAGATCGTCAATCAGCGCTCGCGCCCTCTCGAGAGATTCAACTCGTCCAAGATTGCCGCGTGTAACCTCGGCGGCACAATGAAAATCAGACTTTGGCATTATTGAAATGGGTGCTGTCGCGCGCATCGGAATGCGAATTCGATGAAAGCGATAACCGCGCGCAAACGGCAGAAGAAGACGCAGACTAAAAAGGGGAAGCAAGAGGCGTGAACTGCATGCGAGATGGAGGCAGCAGCCGAGCAATTAACGGGCGCGCACGATCGCGGCGGGGCACGGCATCCGAGGTAGCAGCAGCTTCATTCGACATGCGTGCCGCGATCGTACTTTCAACTATGCCAGATTTGCTCTCAATATGCGTATTATATGCTCGCTCCGATAGCATTCCAATAGCCTGGCTGTCGCGAATGGTGCTCTTGGCTTCGGCTGAATATTTCTTGTTTTTACGCTCGCTCCTTTTTGCGGACCGCCGGTTTCAGTTGCGAATCGCTCGTCAAAGTAAAACAAATGCAATAGTTGCGAG